AGGCTTAAGCACTTGGTGTCATCTGTGATGAAGGGAATCTGGGGGACACAGCTCTCTCAAAGGCATTTCCTGGAACCTAGAGAAACAGTTCTGCTGTGTGCCAAGGGGAAATCGAGAATCACCCTGTGAACTTTCAGGATTTGTTAGTGCACATTCATGTTTCTGTCCTTGCTCTGCGCTCCTGGTTTAAAGGGATCTCCCGGGGTGGATGGCGGAGTGAATATTCACTCTGGGCTCACTGGTAAAACTCCAGTCTCTTTTGAAGGGAGGAGGAATGTTTGACCTTGAGCACATTTCCAGCCTCCATTTCCCAACCCAATCACAGATTTTGAGATGATGCTTCTTTCTCCACAGTTCTCTAATTTTTGAGGAAGCCAAGAGTTCCTTCCCACAAAAGACAGTAGTACACTATTTCCTGTCTTCAAAATTTTGGCTTTGGTTTTGGCTTTTAAGATGATATTCATCACTTAAGTTCTAGACTTTTTTTTTTTTTTTTTTTTTTTTTTTTTTTTTTTTTTTTTTTTTTGAGCCGGAGTCTTGCTCTGTCGGCCAGGCTGGAGTGCAGTGGCGCGATCTCAGCTCACTGCAAACTCCGCCTCCCAGAATCACACCATTCTCCTGCCTCAGCCTCCTGCGCAGTTGGGACTACAGGCATCCACCAACATGCCTGGCTAATTTTTTGTATTTTTGGTAGAGACAGCGTTTCACCATGTTGGCCAGGCTGGTCATGAACTCCTGACCTCAGGCAATCTGCCCGCCTCAGCCTCCCAAAGTGCTCAGATTATAGGCATGAACCACTGTGCCTGGCCAGGGTTATTTTTAATATAATTGTGGCTGTCTCAAGTAATGGTGCTTTGCGTATTTTTGTCAGTGGTTTTGGAATAACACAAGCACTCATGTCTGCCGAGTAGACTATTAGAAGGGGGCATATCTTTCATTGTCATAGATAATGCGAAACTTTTTCCAAAATGATGACACCAATTCATGCTCCTCTAATAGCATACATGAGTAGCCATTTCTCCAAATCCTCATCGACTCTGTTTTATCTCTTTCTAAAAACCATCACTTTGATTAGTCTTTCATTTGTATAACATATTACTTAAAATCTTTACCAAAAAGAAATGTTGTTTGACTCTAATGATGCAGCACAGTAGATTTGTTTACACCGCCTCACCACACACACGTAAGTAACGCACTGTGCCGACATTCCAACAGCTACGACTTTACTAGGCAAAGGGAAATTTTCAGCTTTGTTATAATCTTATGGGAGCACTGTCATACATGTGGTCTGTCATTGACTAAAATGTCATTCTGCCACATATGACTGTAGTTAATAAGCAGGTGCTTAAGTTATAAGAATGAACATAATAACAGATATAAATTGAGCATCAGATACTATATGGGCACTTCTCTATGTTGCCTCCTTGAAGTATCACAATCACTTTGAGACAGAATTAGTTTTGTTATAGTCATTATACAGATGAGGAATGTGAGTCTCAGCTAAGTAAATTACTCAGGAGACACATCAAGAGCGGGATCTCTTTAACACCAAAAGCTAGTCTATAAACTAACATGCTACACCGCCTGTAGTGGCAAAGTAGACTTACCATAAAATGAAATGTGCTTCCACAGCTGGGTGTGTGAGCTTAGTGAGGCTGGTGTTCCCCATTGCTCCATGGCTCAGAAATTGGTCTTGCTGAAACTCGGATGGAGAAGCTCTTGGCTCAGGGAGTGAAAAGTTACTGACAGGTTGTATGAGTGCAATTGAAGGATTATGCTTCCATTGAGCATGTGGTTGTTCTCATGGAATGAGAACAGAGAGAGTCAAAGAGAATCACCCAGAGCAAGACTCTGTCTCAAAAAAAAATTGTCCATCTAATAGGTTAAAAATTAGATACAGTCAACCACACTGGTCTAAAGTGTGCTTTTAGACAGTGATCGGAAAGAAGAAAATTAAAATAGTTGATGTGTTCTATATGGGAGTCTGAGATAAACTGCTGTTAAATAGAATTTTATATGAAGTTCTTTAGGCAATAAGTAAAAATGGAAGGGAAACCTGATGGCAGAGAGCAGCCAGGACCACAGTTGTCTATGGATGCAGAGACTGTGGTGGAGCCTGGAATGCACCAAAGACCATGAGTGCCCCCGCGCAGTCAGTTCAGTGACAGCACCGCTCATTATCTGATCTGCAGGCACCCCAGTAGCACATGGAGAGAACAGGGAGGCCTAAGATGAGTCCGGGTCATGGAAGGTCTCCAATGAGGGGATCTTGGAAGATGTGAAAAGCATTCTGGAGGGGGAGGTAGCCCTGCAGCATAGCGGTCTAGTTTCCCTCACTGGTCTGACTTGGTATGGCATAGAGGGGCTCACACAGCAGTCCCCAGTTCTCCCACTTCCCTAAAGGCTTAAACACACCATGATGTGGATCAGTTTCTTAAAGAGCACAATAGCACGTTACTGAACCGGAATTGCAGAGAAGTGGCCTCGTTTCCTGGAAGTGTTTCAGGGAGGGGAGGTGGTGAGGCTCCACTGGGGAAATGCTCATGGCGAAAGAAAGATGAGGCCTGAGGACTGGTGGTTGGGCTCAGTCACATGGAGACCACGTTGTGCCCTACAAGAGCAATCTGGTGGTGTGGTGCTGGGGAGGGGAGAGGGCCAGGATCACAGACATGTGCAGGGATTCCGAACCAGAGGCCTCCTCAGAACGGACAGAGGAGATGGTCTGTAAGGACCTGTTCGATTCCAGTGAGGGCATGAGGGGCAGGCAGGGAGAAAAGCAGTCCCACATAGGAGGATGCCCAGGGTGGGGAAGCAGGTCTCTGGAGAGCTAGGTTTCAGTCTAAGCAAGAAAGGGAAGAATGTTCCAGGGAGAGGATGAGGCCCTGGGTCCTCCAGAGGGCTTGGAAAAAAGGTTTCAGCAGACGGGATCAGAAAAGGAGTATTCAGGGCCTCGAGGGGGAGGTGAGCTAAGCTTCTTGCAGCCCCTGATGCAAACAGGTATGAAGGACATAGTGAGATTAGTCCTGAGTCTGAGGCAGAGAGTGGTGAGGAGACCATGAGTTTGGGAAAGGGAGGGAAGGGCCTGGCTGGGAGAAGGCGGTGTTCTGGGCCCTCTACAGTCCTGCCAGGGAAGATCAAAGCCGAGAGAGGCCCAGGGCTCCCTCCTGACACCTGCACAAACAGGTGTACCTCTGGTCAGGGGGTGCTCTGTAGACTGCTGTGGAGTGAGGGAGCAGCTTCTCCTGGGAATAGGGCCCCAGGCACCTGCAGGATGAAGGGCTCCAGGCCCCCTGAGATGCCTGCTGATGTGTCTCCTCTGAGGGACTGTAAACTGGCTTCTTGGGTACCCACAATATACGAGGCACTTGTTTTCAGTATGATACACCTGGCACTGCCAAAATCATACCCATTTATGATAGGCACAATTACTATCCTCACTTTAGAGCTAGGAAAACTGAGGCACTGAGCAGTTAATCAACTTGCCCCAGGCTCCATAGGTAAACAGTCAGTGTAGAGCTGGGGTCTCAACACAGCAGGCTCCCTCCATAGGGTGAGATTATAGCCACTGGCTGTCCCACTGCGCTTGTCCAGCCTTGGTTGTCTGGGGTGGCAGTTTGTGCCTTTGGGCTACAGTTGAATTACCAGTTGCCTCTTCTAGGCTGGCTCCCATACCTCTCCCAGCAGCAGCTTCTTAAATCCCAGAAGCTGATAATGGTGTGGTAAATGGGCCTTGGAGAATGGAGGCAAGGGTGTGGTGCTCAGGACTTCTAGGTCCCAACATAGTCTGTGTTCCTGGCCCTCCCCTTGTAACAGAGGCACCGCTGTCCCTGGCTAATGAGTTCCCGCATCTCTAATTTCTCCTCAGCCTGGACTGCAGAGGCGGGAGCCCAGGAGATGCTGGTGTGGAGGCTGCTTAGTGGGATGACGTCACAGTTCTCACTGAAAAGGGATTGTCTCTTCTTCATCCAGGGTGAAGCCATTCCAGGAGGTGACCAGGGTGCTGACCCAAAGGGAAGGCCAGCGCGTGCTGCAGGGACATCTGAGGGAGGCTCAAACTCCGCAGTCAGGCATTTTCCCAGGCTTGGCGTAAAGAAGTGATGGAGACTTTTGTGTGATTCCTAGGCTCCCCTCCTGGACAGCACCAGGAATGTGTCTTCGAGGTGGCTGGGCTTCAGGCCAGCCTGGGGGCGTGCTTGGGTGACTGGAGAATGCAGCTATTTGCTGGGAAGATCTTAAGGAGGAAACCAGAACCTCTCCCTCTCCCGAGCTCTCATCCCTGGGGGAGCCTGTTAGGATAGAGTTCATCCTCAGTCAAAAGAAACTGCATCTGGTTTCACCTTTTACCTTCCTTCCTGCCACCCAGGATGGGAGCAGGCAAACCTGGCTGAGGAGAGCCACACCCAGACACACCCCATGGGTCAATCACTGGAGCTTCTGAAACCTGGGTGGTGCCTGGTACAGCTGGGTTCCTTCCTTCCCCCAGCCCAAGTTTCTGCCTCCAGCTTTGCCCCTGGAGATCTCAATTCTGCTTTCTACATTCTGAGGGGAACTCTTGGCCCCAGCAGCAAGCAAAACTCCAAGTGCACCTCCCATACATCCCCCGGCACTGGGTTCGGCCTGTACCATCCAGGACCTGGTGCTTCTGGGCCTGGCATTTTGCCTTTGGCAAGAGAGCGAGAAGAGACGTGACTGTGCTCCAGGAACGGAAAGTGCCATTCCGACTCGAAATAAAGAGACTGAGCGCATTGATTCAGGTGCGGAGGTGGCTGATCAGATCTGACCCGAGGAGAGGCTCAGGGTTTCCACTCAATGACATCGATGGTGATCTGGGTCGCCTGCTGTAAGGCCTCACCCTCGTAAGCCTTACTGTCAGAGTCCTTCTCCAGGACACGGAAGATATGCGTGTGGGCCTGCAGGACCTTCCAGCCCTCAGGGGCCTCTGGCAGCATGGTGAGGGCCTTGGTGGCCTTCAGGCACACCCTGCCCATGGGTGAGTGTAGCACCTTCAGGAGTAGGCTGATGGCTTTTGTGTCCAGGGACACATACTTCTCGGCAGGCCACCAACACAGGGCATTCCTAACAAGCTGAAGGGGTCTCTTCTCACCCCCTCACACCCTAGCCCTCTTTTGACCCTTGTGCCTGCAGTCTCAGGGGAGGTGCCACCCCGTCCCCCTGCTGCAGGAATTCCCTGATTCATTCATGCAGTGAGACACTGAGGCAAGAGCTGGGTTTCCCACCTCAGCACTCTTTTGAGCCAGGCAATTCTCAACTTGGGGCCAAAGTTCCCCTGCTGTGACCTTTGGGGATGACACAGAAAATGATGGCAAGGATTGTGATCACAGTGGACACAGGAGGATTGGGGGAGGCTGGGGAGGCCGCAATTTCACAGAGAAAGCTCTCTCCGGGAAAGCCACTCTCCTGGTCGCACAGAAAGGGACCTCTGTGCAAACCTAAGAATGATAGGGCTGGGACAGGGCCTGGGAACATGCATTTCCACAGACCACCTGGGGTCTGGTTCAGGGACCACACTTGGAGAAATACCCGAGCCTCTAATGAGACTCTCAGGACCTAGGGAAAGCAAGAGGGCCCCCCCAGCAAGGGGACATGACCACAGCCACGGCAGGGAATCTGGGGGTCGGTGACCAGCCCATCCTCACAATGAGAGGCCCAGTGTGGGAACACCCCCCAACCACCGCAAGCTCTGAGTCTTTGTGCTGCCCCAGTTTTGAGGCCAGGATGTAGACTGTGATCCTGTGTGACCTGGGGTGAGAGACAAGACACTGCGCCTCCGTTTCCTCACCTGTGGAGGCAGACATCGCCTTCCTGGAGGGTTGTCTAAATGTGAGGTTTGGAGACAATGCCTGGCACACAGGAGGCTCTCAGTGACCGCTGGGTGTCAGGATCGTCATCAGTGCTTTTCCTGTTCTTGCCTTCCTCATGGGGAGGAGGTGCCAGACCCTCTCCTGCATCCTCCTGCAGGCAGAGGCCAAGATGAGTTCCTGGAGTTGCTCCTCTGCAGCTTCTACACCAGTGAGGGGATCAGAGCCTTGCTGATGACACCGTGGGCCGCTGCACGACAGGTAAGGGCACTGAGGGTGGACCGGCCATACCCCCTCCCATGCTGGTTGGCCTCAGGGCTCAGGAAGGATTTTGCAGAGCAACTGGGTGGGTTTGAAAAAAGAACTTGCAAGTTCCCTGTCACCCCCCCGAAGCTGCCTGACCAGGGGCCTGAGAAGCCAGCAGGAGGCTATGGGTGAAGCCATGTCAGGGGCTGAGAGGGCAGGTGCAGAGGACCCAGGAAGGGCCAGCCTTTGGTCACTGGCATCTCAGGGAGCATCTGCCATAGCAGGGGACAGTGGCCTGAGAGGCAGCAGCCACCCCTGGGAGATCCGGCAGCTCACTGCTGCGGGGTCCAGGCACACCAGGAGACCCTCCGCTCTTCCCTACCACTGCCCCAGAGTAGGGGAGCCAACAAAGCCCCCCCGCCTTTCCCATCCGAAATATTTCAAAAGAGTTGGAGGCTCACGCCTGGTCAGACCACCCCTTGAGAAGAGCTTGGGTTCGACTCTGAGATGGAAGACCTAGAGTGTAGCCCGGTGTCTCACACACCAAAAAGAGCTGTGCCCCAACTAAAGGTGACGGGAAGCCATAGGCTCTGGCCAAGGGGTCTTGAAGGGACCTCAGGCTCTGTGGGAAGGGGGTCTCCACATGGCACAGCTGGGGTGCAGGTACTGGGAGAAGTACAATGAGGCAAGCCTCCCCCATAAACAGGCCCCACGTGGCTCCTCCCAGCTGGAGCTGGAAACCTGGGAGGGAAGTGGTCTCTCCCTTGAGGCCTCGAGAGCCTGTGGGGCAGGTAAGGGGCGAGAGATTTTATGGGATATGGAGGCCTGTGGAGGAGACAAGCCAGAGGGGTGAGGAGGAACATCAATCCCTAGAGGGGCCTGGGCAGACACTAGTTTTCACTAAACAGTTACTGTTTTGCCCATCATGAACTTGAATTTTTTTTTTTTTTTTTTTGACGTGGGGTCTCACTCTTGTCACCCAGGCTGGAGTGTACTGCCATGAACTCAGCTCACTGCAACCTCCACCTCCCAAGTTCAAGCGATTCTCCTACCTCAGCCTCCCAAGTAGCTGGGATTACAGGTGCACATCACAAAGCCCGGCTAATTTTCTTATTTGTAGAGATGGCATTTCTCCATGTTGGCCAGGTTGATCTTGAACTTCTGACCTCAAGTGATCCGCCTGCCCCGGCCTCCCAAAGTGCTGGGATTACAGGCATGAGTGCATAATTAGCCTGTGCTTGGCCTAATTTTTATTTTTAAATGTCATATTAAAATCTCATTTATCTTGATTCCTGAGATTTCTGGCCCCTCTTAAATTTGGCACCAAGGCCAGCATCTCACTGACCTCTCCCCAGTCCTCTAGGGCAGGAATGGAGACAGGGGCCACAGAGGATGGCGGCTGCTGTCACCACAGGGCGCCCAGGCTCCTCCTTTCTCCCTCTCCTCCTCCCCCCGCATATGTGCCGCCTCCACGCCCTTTCCCCCACTGAGCAGGGGCCACCTCCCCAAGCACCAGGTAGTGGGCTCCAGATGATGATGTGGGGGCCTTCCCTGGGATCCCTGGGTCACTAGACCTCAGCCAGGGTCACCTCCTAGGACTGATCCCTAGGAAACCTAAGCCCACACAGGGTGCAGGTGCCTCTGAGGGAAAGGCCCTGGGGAGGGCTTGTGGGGGGACACAGTGCAGTCCCTCTCCCTGTGTGACCCCAGTCCCTTCTCTCTGTGTGTGGGGGGGAAGTCCGCAGATAAAGCACTGAGCATCCGGGTTCATTTACAATCTTCTAGGTCACAATGGCCTGTTCATCACTGGTGAACTTTATACCCCCAGGTGATAATCACTTCAGGGACAGCACCTCCATCTCAGTGGCCTCATAGGCAGGTCCTGCTGTGATCCCCATTGTACAAATGGGGATAGAGGCCAGAGAGGTGAGGCCACCCGCCCAAGTCACTCAGCTCATATCACAGAGCTGGCAGAGTTCATGAGTACTGTGGACAATCGCACCAAATGCAATGGATTGGGATAACTAGATCAAGATGTAATTTCACAGAAATAAAGGGAAGGCCTTGTACTTTATTCCAAATATCAACTCCGAAAGGAACCGGATAATAAAGATAGTGTCAGCTCAGCAGCACTAGTGATTGAGAAAGTCACAGGGCTTTAGTTAGTCCAACTCCAGCTCTTCCCTGTCCCTGTCCCCTGAGCTGATGGAGCTGGCATGTGAACCCCTGTGGCCTCAGTTTCCCCTTCTGCAAAGTGAGGCTTCCTGATTGGTGAGGGCCTTGCATCCTGATGCCCACCCCTGCAGTGACCGTGGTGAGGGCTTCCATGAGGAAAGCTGACCCTGTGCAACTCCAGCAGTGCCCCCATCGGGGGAGGGTTAAGACCAGTGGGTGCCAGGCTGGGACCGGGGTCTGAGAGTTCTGCAGGTACTTCCAGGCAAGGAGTCCCCATCAGGGTCAGGCTTTGTGCCAGGGCTGAGGTCCTGGAGGAACCAGATTTACCCCAACTCAAGTCCACAAAGGGAGGGTGTCATGTGAGGTGACAGCCACATGCAGTGTGATGCTTGCAGGACAGAGACTGGGACAGTGAAAGCCCAAAGGGTCTACACAGAGGATGAGTGACAGGTGTAGGGGACACCTGGCAGGGGACTCCCAGGCATAGAGTCTCAAGAAGCTCCAGGTGGCCCACAGGGCTGGAGCAAATGAGTCCTGGGGCTAAGGTGGTCTAAGAGCAGGCTAGACAGGTACCAGGCCCAGACCCAGAGAACTCATCCCTGGGGGACTCATCTGGGGAGTCCTGGAGGCTGTTTGCAGGGAATCAACGAGACCAAACACTTGGATGGGTGGGCAGGGGTGCGAATCCAGAACTAGGGACACCCCAGGGAGGGTGTTATGGTGACCCAGGCAGTTTGACTGATATGAGGACAGATTCAGTTGAAGGAGGAACAGGAGAGGGAGGAGCAAAGACAACCATGGGTTTTTTTGATAAACAGTGAAGAGAACACTGTGGGCATGTCAGTGCATCCTGTGTTTTAAACAAAATGCCCAAGGGAAGTGGTGGTCTGCAAAGCATCCCAAGAAGGCAGCAAGGGCTTGGTTTGGTCTCCCCCAAGGCCATCCACTCACTGACTTGCTCATAAAGGCTTACTGGGGGCCAGGCTGGGGGACACAGGGAGGGTGGACCAAACAGAGGGGGACTATTCAGTCAGGAGGACAGATCATGGCCCAGTTTTGGAGCAATAAAGGGGGAGGGGGTCCCCCCTCTGCAGTGGGGGGATGCCAATACTGGTCTCACTGATCAAGCAGCACTGGCTGGTGATGGGCACCCCCTCAAAGGCAGCAGTGCCAGTGGACAGGAGACCAAGGGCTGTGGAGGGGAGCTCCTGGAGGACACGAAGGGAGAGGCTTACAGACCACATGGTCCTTGTAGCCTGCCTTTATCCTCAGATCCAGGAGTCGTCTTTGGAGAGATTTGGGTAGAAGACTGATCATCAGATTTGTGTGCTTCTGGTGAGAGGCTGGTGTAGACCAGATTAGAGGAGGGAGGCCCAGGGCGGAGAGTGGGGGTAGCCTGGTCCGGGGGAGGTGAGCAGCCTGGAGGAGGCACAGGTTTAAGCCACCCAGGCGCCTAGATTGCTGTGAAATGGGTGGGTGAAGCTGAATTGGGGGCACCAGAGGCTGATGGGGAGTAGTGGGCATTCTCGGGGGCTGCCCG